ACTGCAAACAAAGGTAAACTTCATTTCAGAACTAAACATTTACAGTCTTAAAGGTTACTTCGTATACCATAATATATTCATCTAAAACAGCGTTTCTCAAATGGGCGATATTGCCCCCAAGTGAGCGTTTTTCCATGTTGGGGCGATTTGTAACAATTTATATTTGGGGGGGGCGAAAATCAATTTTCTGGGCAATATAGTGAACATTGTATTAAGAATAATTAGATATTTTATTCGTTATATCGTACAATAATTAAGCAAATAACATTATATTAGTCAATAGTCTGTTCAATGCAATACGAATTTGGCGTTAGCCTTGCCCTCGGCATCAGAATTTTGAAGTGAAGGGGGCGATACTACGTAACGGTTTTATTGAAGGGGATGATTCCACGTTGAAGGGGGTGACGATTCGTTAGAGGTTGAGAAACACTGATCTAAAACGTAATGTAAAAGTTCACAATGATACTTACTTTGTATAAACTTTTTAGCAGGCGTAAAATTAGATGAAGTATTGCTGAAACATGGAAAACGTGTCTTCCAAACAAAAAAAGCGATTTGGACGTTCTCTCGTCTCATGATCCCTTTTGAAGTTGAGATTTACTTCCCTAAATAACAGCTAGATAAAATCACATTAACCATAAATAAACAGACGTCCTCATCTAACCCCATGATCCCATCTTGCACCACCTTCCCCTACTGGTGAGTAAAATGTTGCTTTAAAGGCGACATTTGCAGACTTTCTGTTACATTACTTTTTCGAAAATTTTAAAATGAAGTTTGCCTATCTAAATTCATGACTACGATGGAAAATGTTACGATTTTGATAAAAGAAAAGTCAACCTAACCCGAAAGGATCCATCATGTCTACCTGTAAAAACACTCAACCAGACGTTAGTGAGACAGTTGTCTTCAGAATCATTTATTACGTCATAAGATTTGGATTTATTTAATATTCATTACTACTTATTGATTATCATTCACAGCAGTTACCTGACTTCATTTGTGATATTAACTGGGCTAAAATTTTCAAATTTCAAACCTGTAGACTGCTGTTATAGACCGTGTACGTGTGTTCGTGCCCTTCCTTAATAAGCATGTGTCTACCTTCTAGATTTTTCGGTAGCTGGGTGTCGCGAAAATTCCTCTCGTTTTAAATCTAGTGGGAAAAAATGCTAAATTTGGTATTGCGTAAGTGCAGAACGATCCAACGAATGTATTCAANTCTGTTCAATGCAATACGAATTTGGCGTTAGCCTTGCCCTCGGCATCAGAATTTTGAAGTGAAGGGGGCGATACTACGTAACGGTTTTATTGAAGGGGATGATTCCACGTTGAAGGGGGTGACGATTCGTTAGAGGTTGAGAAACACTGATCTAAAACGTAATGTAAAAGTTCACAATGATACTTACTTTGTATAAACTTTTTAGCAGGCGTAAAATTAGATGAAGTATTGCTGAAACATGGAAAACGTGTCTTCCAAACGAAAAAAGCGATTTGGACGTTCTCTCGTCTCATGATCCCTTTTGAAGTTGAGATTTACTTCCCTAAATAACAGCTAGATAAAATCACATTAACCATAAATAAACAGACGTCCTCATCTAACCCCATGATCCCATCTTGCACCACCTTCCCCTACTGGTGAGTAAAATGTTGCTTTAAAGGCGACATTTGCAGACTTTCTGTTACATTACTTTTTCGAAAATTTTAAAATGAAGTTTGCCTATCTAAATTCATGACTACGATGGAAAATGTTACGATTTTGATAAAAGAAAAGTCAACCTAACCCGAAAGGATCCATCATGTCTACCTGTAAAAACACTCAACCAGACGTTAGTGAGACAGTTGTCTTCAGAATCATTTATTACGTCATAAGATTTGGATTTATTTAATATTCATTACTACCTATTGATTATCATTCACAGCAGTTACCTGACTTCATTTGTGATATTAACTGGGCTAAAATTTTCAAATTTCAAACCTGTAGACTGCTGTTATAGACCGTGTACGTGTGTTCGTGCCCTTCCTTAATAAGCATGTGTCTACCTTCTAGATTTTTCGGTAGCTGGGTGTCGCGAAAATTCCTCTCGTTTTAAATCTAGTGGGAAAAAATGCTAAATTTGGTATTGCGTAAGTGCAGAACGATCCAACGAATGTATTCAAAATTTAAGGCTTTCATAGACCTCATCGTTGACACTAAATATTTCAAATTACCCAGTATAAAAAAACCCTCTTAGGATAGTGTTAAAAGAAAATAAATTATTATTGAGAGAGTAAGCGTTTTATTTATTATTATTATTATAAAAATTAAACAATCAAAAAGTTTAGTTTGGTTAAGGTGCAGCATCGCAACACATGGGTGATCTGCCGAAAAGGTATATTGCTATGGGAAAGTGGTTACAATTTTGATGTTAGACACGCGAAGAAAGCCCGGAAAACTCCACTAAGACGTATGTTTATCTAATTAGGCTACCAATGTTCAGATTTTACTTATTCCGTGGATATTGGTAAGCGCAACCAAAAAATAATGTCAGATAGTTAAATAAGAATAGAAGAATTTTGGTTATCCGAAAGGAAGAGAAGAGAAATCAATGATATAAATTAACTCTTGATTTTTTTAGAAATAGAAAAAAAAGCAGAAACAGATTATAAAATACAATCTCCAGTTAAGTATTTACGTCATAGTTAATAAATTTTTAAACACATTTCTTTGCAAATGCTGTTTTTACAATAATATTTGTCTCATTATTTGGAAAATTAGCAGAAGATTCTGCCCGTAAACTATTTATCTCTTTTACTTTTGACTTAAAGCAGTTTTCATCACTAATTTTAATAATTTCGTCTTAGAAAAGTAACAATTTTTTTTTATTTAAATATTAAACAAAACGAGCAAATGTTTATTGTGACACGGTCACGATGCCGGGCTGCAATTTTTAATCATATTTTTCTATTATTTAATTTAAAATATACGCTTCCACCTGAAATTAGTAGTGGCTTGCCCCTGTGCATCATACTTTTCCTTTAAAAATAGAGCCGTGGTTATCAATGAAGATGTTTGTTTGTTCGCTTCACACTCCTAAATTGTTCGACCAATTGCTACGAAACTTGGGAATTTCGTTCAAATACTTCTAACTTAAATCATGTCATACCTCCCAGCAGTGCCGTAACTAACCATTCCTGTGACCTGCGCAAGAATTTGCATTTAGTCCCTTTAATTAATTAGGTGTAAAAAAATAAGACTATCTATATTCAGGGTTTCTACTCAAAATTTTGTTTAATAAAATGTTGAATTTTTGTTCTCTTTCTCAACATTTGTTACTTCATGTACAGTTTTTGACGTTTAATATTATCACTGATTATTGAACACTCTATACATTTATTTTTCCGTATTTTATTTACATAGGCCTATATCTATTAAAAATGGAAAGCACGTAGGGTCAACAGAATTCGCGAAGGTTACCCCTTTCAGTGCAGTGTCCCTTTTTTAGGCATTGGGTGATGGCCACCCTACATAAAATTCATCTATGTTTTATCAAAGTGGAATTAAAGACACTCGCTATTTTGCCTGGGTGTAAACGTAAGAGTAAATTCTAGTAAACTCAGGTAAATTCTAGATTTAAAGAATAAGAACAACCGAGGCAGCTGAGAGCAGTGAACTCCGACTTAAGCAACGTACACAAAAAATGGCTTTGTCAAGTGATGAAGAACAGCATCACAACGTCAGGCTCGACTTGAAGCTTCTCTCAGTTCTTCAATCTTTATTTACTCATTAAAAATATTCCGTCGTGTATGGCAGGAGAATTTCCAGTATATTATAAATATATAGGACACACTAACTAATAGTTATATTAATAACTAATAATACACAGAAACTGAAAACTTCCTACGTCATTTATGTTATCAATTTTAAAATCACGTGATAGATTTAAACCAATACAATACAGTACACAACTGTTCCAAACTCGGTTAAACGGCACCGCCATTGAATTCTTATGGCATCGTGTATATCTGACGTCACGAATGTTTGGGTTTAATTTATTATTTTAAATTTGTTAACGGTTTCGTGTATTCGTAAGAGGGGTTATTTTAATGAAGAAAGTAAGAATTTATTGCTGAAGATAAAGCTGTGATCGTGTAAGTTCCTCCTTAAAAAATGAATTTTTAAAGTGTTTTCTGATTGGTCTGGCTTAATCCTTATATTGCACCAATCAGAAACTTTATTGCATTACGATATCAGTATTTACCAAGCATACTGTACTGTACTTTGTAGTATTAGTGTACCAAGAGTATATTACAATGTTACTGCAGCGAAAGTACATTATTGGTGCACTAATACTGGAGTGCATTACAGTATTAGTGCACCAATTTAGTACATTACAATATTAAGAAACCGATACCAATGAGGTGATTTGCTGAACTGATTGGTACCGATGTAACAATGTTTATCATTCGATTTGATTGTACCGTTGTAATGTATCAATGTTTCTCGTTGGTACAATAGACTTCTGTATGTGAACGTCACTCCAAGCTTAAACATCTTAAACTTAACGCTTAAACATCTTTTAGTAACAATTTATAACATTTCAACATGAATGTTTCTATAACGCAAGAACAAGCTGTAAAATAAATTATTTTATATTTTAAAAATCTGTTGAATGCATTAAAAACTTCTCAATAATATAGTTTGTTGGGTGTTTGTAGGGTGGACCAAAAGTCAGTTTACAGAGATATATTTTTATATCATTTTAACCTGGTAAATCAGATTTAAACCTATTTTTAAGATCAGGATAGCGCGAACTTTAGTTAGAAAGTTTGATGACATACTATAACTTTAGCACAAAGTATATACATCGTATGCAGATATCATTTATGTTAATGTTCGTTATGTTCGTTTTTAAACTATATTGGAACTTTTCTTAATCTTAATCCAAAGGGACTAGTCCACCAGTGGCCAAGTAGATAAAACCACTGGTAATAATTAGTTGCGTGTTCGTATNGCTTGCATACATATTGCATACATAGATATTTTAGTGTTTAGTAAGACAATGTTTGTTAAAAGCAGTTCTATCGTTATAACCTTTTTTACATATGTCACAAATATACTTTTTTCTATCACTGTGAACTATTTCATGTCTTCTCAAAGTGTTTTTTGTTTTAAAATCTTTGTTACATATATTACAAGAATATTTGTATTCATCGGTGTGTATATTAATATGCTGTTTTAAATCACTACTTCGTTTAAAACTTTTGTTACATATATTACAAGTATAGTTGAATTTATCATTATGAACTACTTTATGATATGCCAAATGCTGTCTTCTTTTAAAACCCTTATTACAAATATCGCATTTGAAAGGACGTTCTTCACTATGACTTTTTTTATGTACTCTTAATGAATCTTTCCATTTAAAACCCTTATTACAAATATCGCATTTGAAAGGACGTTCTTCACTATGAGTTTTTTTATGTACTTTTAATGAATCTTTCCATTTAAAACCCTTATTACAAATATCGCATTTAAACGGACAGTCTTCACTATGTGTTTGTTCATGTTGCAACAATATATCCTTCCTCTTAAATTCTCTTCCGCATATCTCGCAGGCATAATCTTTGTGTGTTCTCTTGTGTCTTTCTAAATGGCTTTCACCATATCGAACACGCTTACCACAAATGTCGCAATACACGTTTTTCCGCTGGATATTAGATTTTTTACTATGAATACGTTTATGCTGTCGCAAATTATATGCCGTTTTGAAATATTTTTTACATATATCACAGGAATATTTGTATTCATCGCTGTGTATATTAATATGCTGTTTTAAACTAGCATTGCGTTTAAAACTTTTGTTACATATGTGACAAGTATAGTTAAGTTCGTCACTATGAACTATTTTATGAAATTTCAAATACTGTTTTGTTTTGAAATTTTTGTTACATACCTGACAACAATAGTTACGTTCATCATTATGAGTCTCTTGATGTCTTCGTAGATGCTCTTTACATTTAAAACCTTTATTACAAATACCACATTTGAAAGAACGTTGTTCGCTATGAGTTGTTAGATGTACTCTTAATACGTCTCTCCATTTAAAACCCTTATTACAAATATGGCATTTAAAAGGTCGCTCTTTACTATGCCGTGCACCATGATTTAACAACATACATTTCCACTTAAATTCTCTTCCACATATCTCGCAGGCATGAACTTTGTGTATTCTCTTGTGTATTTCTAAACGGCCCTTACCATATCGAACGCGCTTACCACAAATGTCGCAATACACGTTTTTCCGCTTGATATTAGATTTTTTATCATTTGTTGCAGATGGCTTCTTTCGATCGTTAGCTAGCTGCAAACGTAAGTTTTTATCCGAAATTTCTTTTTGATTTCCAGTTTTGTGTTCTTTCACGTGTCTTCGCAAAAGATATTGCCACAAAAACTTTTTATTGCAGGTTGTGCAGCGAAATGGTTTTTTTCTAATGTGACAGAATAGATGTGTTTGTAATATGCTTTTATTTTTAAAAGTCTGTTTACATAAATCACACGTAAATTCTTGCTTAGAATGCAATGAAAACATAATTTTGAAATATTTCCTTTTAATCTTTTCATAAATTTTATTGTATTTTCTACTCGAAGGAACGTATTTCTTTATTTTGATATAATATTTTAAATGTTTTTCTTTTTCTGAATTGTGCTGAATATCGTATTCTCGAATTTGCTCTTTCTCCTCAACTGAAAGAATAAAAAATAACATAATAAATTACCTATAATATTTGAATAAACATAACATAGCTGCTATATTAAAATGTTAGTGTTGTAGTTGTATAATTGGTAAAGTATATCTAGTATTTAAAAGCAAGGCATCATTTGTTGTTTGCACTAAAAATAAAACATTTTACAATCATAAACTGATTGATTCAGCTTTAGTTTCTTTATCGTAGGCCTACTTTTAAATGAGTGGGAAAAATTAAATTCTTTCACTTTAAGTAGAGAGGAAAAACGCAACGTGTTTTCTAACACAACGGAAATATTTACAGTCGACCCCCCTATAATTACGGTCCCTATAATTACGATTCCTATAAAACTACGAAAAAATATACGTATTTTGGAAATGTTGAGTCGGATTAGTGTAGAATCGATTAATTTTATGGAAGAAAACCTTTCAATCAGCCGTAGTCCGTAAACTTGACACGTGTCGGGCTGTGATTCGAACGACTTGTAAGAAATCGGATTCCTAATAAATTGGAACGTATCTATATCTTATAGGGGGGTCGACTGTACTTATTTATGTCATTAAATTCAAGAATTTAGGCTTATATAGCTTTTAATAAAACATAATAATTCTGATCATCCGAACAGATTTTATTAAGTTCAAATATTATAATAATACGATATATCTAATCCCAGTTAAATGTATGACGGTGGAAACTTGAAAGCAGTTCATCAGCTGCCTTATAAATAATACAAATATAAAAAGTTTGAATTAAGTAACACATTACTTACTTTGGATGTTCATTTCACTCCTGTTAAAGTTTTCGTCTAGAGTGAACAATTCATTCTTGACAGGCTAAACAATATACATGGCAACCATTAATAATCACTTATAATATGTAAACAATAACCAGTTGCTCAATTTTCCTGGTAACATTTTAAAATTTTGGTGCCGCTGTCACTAATAAAACGTTTTTTAAATAAAATATGATATTTTAAACTATTATAGAAAGACAAAAAACTGAATTTTAAGGGTATGGATGAGTTTTATAAATAAAAAAAAAGTTAAATGCGAATAACGAGTATTATTTTGTTATAATCAACTTTTAACTGGTTAAAAATAGAAATTTCAGTGTTTATTAATTTGTTGTAATCTGTGTTTATTTAATTAATGTCTTCACAGTCTTCATAAAAAAATAAATAAATGTGGTATTTTTACTATCGTCGTGTCAATGGGTCACAAAGTAACTTTTGCCAAGGACCTCGTAAATCTTAGGTCCGACTGTATCTCGGGCAACCTTCCACAACACGTGGCCCGCATCGATTGTGAACACGTCAATAAGTCTGAAATATAATCTTATTGTTTATTCTCTAATTTACGTGCACAAAAAGCAGAAATACTCAAGTTACCAACTGAGAGAAGTTTAAACACTATAATTTACATATATAAAAGTAATGTTGAAATTTGCTTTTTACTTTCTCGAATGTCATGTATACATAACAAAATAATGTATTGAAATCTGGAAAATAATGTATCGTTTTGGAAATTTTTAGATTTTGAGATCTTTTGTATTGAAAAAACACGGTGAAAAATTTCGTGAATGTGTATGTTGGGCGTGCATTTTGGTGTTTATTTTATTTAATATTTCAGAATTAATTGAAGATTATGAAACGAAATTAAGTATTGTACGTTGTGTATAATGACCATTAATGCTATTAAATTTGGTAAAAAAAAAAAGTCGAGGGTTGAAGAGATGAAAAATACTAACGTGTACAATCTCGAGTGGATCGGATTTAATGAAGATTTTCTTTGTTGTTAGCATCTATAGTTCTTTGTGAAATGTATTTCTATCATTAAAATTAAACCCTTCTTAATTTTATAATAATTAAAATTATAGAAAGCTTTTATAACATATCGCGCCACAGACAATTTTATTTATTTGTTATGATTAATAATATAAATGTTATTTTTTAAATAAAATCTTTTACCGCCAGGAAACTTACGCAACTCGTTGTCAGATATTTTCTCATATACTATGTATTTTTTATTTTATACAGAATACACCTAAATTCAAAGCTTAATTTTATATTAGTGATATTGAGCTATCATTCAGTAAGCTAATATTAAAATTACACTGTAAAATATTTCGTAATTTGTATTACTTACCATTACCTGTTCATTATCATCTGAATGATGAACAACTTCTTTATAATCTTCAGTCTTTACTTCAATCTTCAGTTTTTTTAAATCAACTTTACATTCTGATTTTATATCATGTTTTACATCATAATTCTCTTTTATTTCATTCTTGATATCTATATTGGAATTTACAGTTTTTATATTAAAGGATTCTAAGAAAAATTTGAAATATAAAATAACACTAAACATATTTTCAATAGTGAACATAACAGTATTAAATTACGTGTTTCACTACATCAGTTATTTGTGATTACAAGCCGAAAACTAGCTATTTGTAACGGCGAATTGGTGTGATGTGTGAAAAAAGTTATAATAAATATGATTAGAAACTTGTTTTCGTTATTAAATAAATCAGCAACAAGAGGTTAATTAAGTTTCTCAGAAATATTTAAAACTGTGTGTGGCTCCATCTCTTATAATATTTTGTTAAATATATTATTAATTATTATAGAATAAAAGAAAAAGTTTGATATTGAACACAGAGATGAGTTTTCTAAGAAATTGTAAATGAGAAAATGATTAAACTCATCATTAAGTTCGACTCTACACGACCCCTTTCCACGTTTAATCACAAAAACTTAAAAGCATCAATCCCCTTAATAAACAAACCTTCCTTCTAAATTTTAGAAATTTTCGACATAAGGCACTGTAATTATTAAACTTTACAAAGGTTGAAGAAAACCATTTTGGAATAATTATTACAGATAATTATTATAAAATGGCATAATGCTAAATTATTAAAATAGGGATGAGTTTTATTTATCATCATTAACCCTGGGCTCATTGCTCGTTGGTGTCTGACGACTTTTTCACTATTTTCTTCCATTTCTCTCTATCCATTGCCGATTTTCTCAATTTTTGTACATTTGCTTTATACCACTTCACGTCATCAATCCATACTCTATGGTCTGCATCTTTTGTTTGATCCACCCATAATACCATAGACTAAAGTCTTAATTTTTCTGTTTTCATACATTCTTGTGATGTGTCCAAACAGTTAAAAGTTTTCGTTGTATAATATTTTGTAAGAGATTCTTTTTCATGTATATCATATTATAAAGTTCTTCGTTTTTAACTTTCTGCATTCATTCTATTTGAAAAATCTTTATATAACAGTGTCTCTTTTGTCTAGGCTTGAAACTGGCATGTTTTCTCTAAAGGTTGCACGGCAGAGTTGTTTTATTCATAGATACATAAAATTAGTATTTTTAAAAAGTTAGGGACTGTGAGAAGTAACAAAACACCCCTGTCTGAGCACTCAATAATGAAGAAACCATTGTTTTCAGAATATAACAGATATTGAAAAAATTGGAGACCTATAAATTCTTACTGTGTTTCAGGTTTTTCTTCATCTCGAAAACGAAAGAAGATGAAAGCCGAGATCAGATAATTTGAAAAGAATAGGAGCACGAGACACCGATTAACTGTGTACGAACTTTTGGCGAAGATCGAAAGTCACGTTAATAAAATATTTTCTCCTGAAGCAGTTAATAAATGACCAGCACAACTCCATTGTCAAATGAAAAATATAAAGTGCAGAGGCAAGCCACTATTAATTTGAGATGAAGTGCATATATTTTAAAATCTAAAACATTTAAATTAGACTTTTATCCGTTGTAAGATTGTGTTCAATTGAATTGACAATTTTAAATGTGTCAACTGAATTAAATGTTATCGATAATATTAAATTCTATATAAATCCTTATTCACTATACACCATGTATTCGCAACGTTTTTCAAACGTTATCATCTCCATTTATATGAATATAAATTTATGTACTACCTATTATTCTTATCAGTAAAAATAAGCTTTCATAATTTACAAGTATTTAGCCTCTTACTTCTTTCGCTTTTATATCCAAAAGGACTCCAAATAGTGGATCCGTTTGTGTTGTTTGTGGAAATTAATTTTCCTTTAATATTTATCTGAAATAATAAAAGATTACGTTATATTATTGGATAGACTGACCTTTATAGAAAATCAAATAAAAAAATTATTTAAACTGAAGCATAAAAATACACTTACTGAATAATGCTTTTAAAATATGGCCTACTTAACTATCTTTTAATAGTAGTGCCTTCGTCTATTTAATACGTTTCAAAGGAAAATTTTGAATTCAAACAATGTGAAATTCCAGATATACACTTCGGAGCCTCCTGCCGAATTAAATAAATCTAATACTATATGAATATATAAATAATAGTTTATTAAGAATCAGACTGCAATTTGAAAATAGACTTATAAATTCCCACTTTACTTAGTCTGTACGACTGTTTAATAGTCCATTCTTAATTTCGACAACAGAGTTACATAGGCGAAAGCCGAGACCAGATGTGGAAAATTTAGAGGCACGAGGCCTGGATACAAGAACTCCCGATGAAAATCGGAAGTAACGTTATTTTGATTCTTTGTAAAACAACTTAGGTTTTGTAAGGACGCCGTTTGGGGGAAGTTCTTTATTCCCTATCGTCGGGATGGCTTAAGGTCTACGCGTATGTGGGTGGCGGTTTTTAGGAGGCAGCAAAAGACAAGTGTTTCACAAAGAAACTGTTTATTTTTTTGAAGATCATGCTTACAAATGATTGATAAAGTAGTAGATTTCTCTGTCCTGGCGGTTGGATATCACTAATGGTTATCTTCTCGTCTAGCGGTGGTGGACCCCCGGGGCGATGACGAGTTAAAGTTCGGAGTAGTAAAGTAACACAAGATAGCGGCGAGCTGAAGCACCAAGAGAAGAAAACAACGATCACAACAGGTGTACTCGACAGAAAGCTTTCATTTGTCCATGAAGTCGGAGTTTTATAATTTTTTCGGGACAGAATCTTTGCTAATTGGTTAAACCTTTTTCATCTCGCTTCCCAATTGGTCACCTGTGTCCAGGGGCCCTGGTCTCGAATTTTTCGTTTTACAACTCCCAACGTGTTGAAAGTGTCACGTGGTACCATCTCATACTCTGACGTCAAATCGGTAGTCTAGAGTTTTAACTCACGTGCTTTCCCATCTCACCATGCGAGTTGCTACTCACGTTGAGTCGAGCATGTGAGATTGCTACACGAAAGTGAAAATGGTTGACAGATACGCTATTCTGATCGCAATCGAAGCGTTAGAAAGAGACGAAAGAGTCGTTTAAGAAGGCAACGAATTTTTCGACCACGAGTAGATGCCATTTCTTTTCGTGTCAAGTCAACACTAATAAAAAAAATTTAATTCATAATTGATAAAATTATACAGCAATTTTTTTCCAAAAATAAAAAGAAGTATCTACTGTAATTCATCGAAAAAGATAATTAAATGATAGTAAATTATATGTATTAATTATTAAGAGCATATTATACACTATATTACGATTATTCGTTTATTAATCGGAAGTTTTAAGTTTTGATTAATAAATAATCTTAATAAACAAAACAATTTAAGAAATAGATCGAGGAAGAAAACTATACGAAGAAAAGATTAAATTAAAATAATTTTTCCATTGTACAATGGATTTTTTAGCACTAATACACAATTAATTTTTCAACTACTGTAATTCTCTCCACAAATCGAATTGTCTTTTTCTTGTAAATTCGTTGTCGAATTTTCCACTGATCATTTTATTATTATTTTCTATATACTGTATGTTTCTAATAGTTCTTTTTGTTCTTCGCTTCTTTTTTTAAAATAAAACATTGAGGGTTTCCATTTTGTTTCTGCGTACTATATTGCTATAAGACAAAACTTTTAACTATAACACGTGTAAACGAATTCACGTTGATTTGTTTACAACTTGTTACAGTTAAGTTTATTGGTCGAATCACTATAGTCACAAATTCAGATGCATTGTAAATAATTTCATCATGCCTAACGATACACGTAAACAAGTGAATATGACCTACTTCCGCTTCACTTTCGAGTTCGTTCGATGGATCTAACTCCAGACTACCGATTATGCGAGTCATTGTAATAAGAGTGAGTTCAATGATGTCAATTCGAGTACAACACCAAAAACTCGAGACTAACGGCCCAGGTGTAAATGGAGCTCCGTTTAGGGCGCGAGAAAAGTCGGCTAGAGATTGTCTATTCGACACCTTCCTTTAGACTCTGATCGCGTTTTATCGATGACTATGAACCCACGCTCATTCTGATATTTTTCTAGTTTCGTTTTGCTTTCTAAACTGCGTCTTAACTTTTAAATTTTATTTTTCTATATCTAAAATTTTTTCCCTCTACTCTTTATGAGCATCGACGTCAAAGTCCGATGTCGCTGATTCGACATTTATATAATTTTATTATTTATACCACGGAGAATAACAAAAAAACTATAGTTTTGAAATATGTAAAACACTAATTTAAGTTATATTTTACTACGGACTTTCACACACCACACTACTTCCCTTCTCCTTCCACTTTTTTCTTCTCTCCTCTCCACTTCTATTCCTATCTCCCACACCCTCCAATAAATCTCTTACCCCCGAATACACACCCTGTTTTAGTCGGACCCAACACGTGGCAAAACTGTGTGGATGTTACAGTAATCTTACGGCATATTAATCTTGGATTAATATCTCCATATATTAATCTACAGGAGAAAAAGTGGATCAAACGTGCCTCATTATGATATTATGGTAATATTATGATAGAATGATTGTCGTTAGAGAGCGATTTTACCTTTCTTGTTTCATATAGTCGATAATAGTAATAAGTCGTTTCTAATATCAATAACAATACTATAGTATATTATGAGATATCACGTGTGTCTCCAAAGTTCAACGAATTCTTTGCAAAATGAAGAAGTTATCAGGCCTTACGATAAGCTCGTAAGGCCATTATTTATACAAATATACTGTTTAAAAATATGTTTTTCTATTTCCAACTTCATATTGTAGCATTTTAGTTGTGTTGTAAAGCTACACTGAATTCTTATAAAAAAAAGTACTTTTACTCACCTCTAAAGGTTCCGATTTAATTGTTTTATAACACTTCTCATCTGTATTAAATTCTCTCTTGAAATTTTTAATATCAACTTTAAATTTTTCTTCTTTTCGTTTAATTGTAAAGTCCGAATATTTCGTTTCTAACTTTTCTTTTATTTTCATTTTCTCCATTTACGATATTCTCGTATTCTCGATATTCAACGATCTATTCAAAGAGCAATTAATTAATTAACTAAAGTTCATTTGAAATTTAAAGCAAGCAACAAAGACGAGTAAACTCATTGCTCTTGTTCACGTTGTAGCAGTAAATAAGGGGTGCACCCTCAAGGTTAACTGAAGAAACTCCAGTGATGACGCGTCACTAGCACACGTGATACTTTGCAGCTATAAAATTACATGTTATATGGTGTTTTTGTCAAAGTATGGATATGATGAAGGGTGGTGTCGAGGAAAGACATAGAATGAGAGGACTAGAAAGGAATGTACGTTAGAGCAGTGTTTCTTAACAAATGGGCCCGTAAGAAGTTTGCCGGGGGCCGCCAAATTATGCAAAATTTATTTCAGAATATAATAAAAAGAAAATTGATGTATAACCGAATATCATATTAAAAAGTGAAATAAGAAAGATAAAGTTTTCGTATTTAGTTTTTTTTTTTTATTTATTTCTTATTTCTCCCTACTTACAACTTTGTTAGTACAGAAGGAATAAATGCAAATATGCTACTTACACCGCAGTATTTACTTCTTTTATTCGAAAGTAATTCTAAGAAACTATTAATGCTTGGAATTTTAAAAATAAAGCAATAATAACAAAAAAAATTATTACAGATAATTTAACAAATAAATTTTATTTAAAAAACGGGAGTCACAAAAAAATTATAAAATATTTGGTGAGCCGCGAGTATAAAAACATAATTAAGAACCACTGAGTTAGAGCACAACACATGTTAAAAACTACAGTCAGGATCAGAGTACACTTCCCTTAACAGAGTTTACATAACTCAACTCACCTCTCGCATAGCAGAGGAGAGGGCGCGACGATTTCAAGGGCAAAGGTGACATACAAACCTTTCTAACAGTTCTTAAAACTCATCTATAAATATTTATATTAAGAAACTAAAAGTGAAATATTTAATCATATCCTTAAAACCTAAAAACTTCTCGGTTTACATTATACTAGGTACTGTACAGGGACGAATCTAAGTTTTTAGGAGAATAGCGCTAATTAAATTTCAATGGAGCCCATTTTCGTTAAATTAAGAAGTTTTAAATTAGGGATTAACATTTATTTTTAATAACATAAAAATCAGAGTCTAAATATATATATATATATATTTATGTTAATAGAAACGTATTAAAATTTATGATAATAATTCAATTTTTGTACCCCCTTGGCACTTCGGGTCCCAAAACTTAATAGCTCTTACCTATATTTGCCCCTGACTAGGTAGCCTGATAGTTTAATGTTAACTCTTTTATAGTCTAATTAAAAAATGAAAAAGCTGGTAAATTTATAAAATAAATAAACAAAACTACTAAAAACATGAAAATGAATATAAATTTGATTGTTTTTTTGGCGAAACAACACTTAAATAATTTTTAATTAACTTTTTTATACTTGCGAACCACTAAATATTTCATAATTTTTCTGTGACCCCCATTTTTTAATAATAATTTATATTTGTTTAATTATATATAATAAATTGAATTTTTTTTATTATTGCTTTATTTTTTATATAATAAATGTAAAACATATCTTTATTATTTCATTATATATTCAAATAACATCCAAACTCCACAATTAAACATAAAAACTCATTAATTTTTAACAAAAAATAAAAGAAGGAACATTTAAAAATTCATTAAGACAAAACAAAAATATTCGAAAATATGTACTAGCGAAAGGCAGCAAATTTTGCATTGCTGCTGAAAACTATGAATGCTTGGAATTCCAGATATAAATTCTACACGAATTTATATCTGGAAATCCAGATATAAATTCTACACGAATTTATATCTGGAATTTCAAGCATTAATAGTTTCTTAGAATTACTTTGTTATAAAAGAAGTAAACACTGCGTAGTAAATAAATAAAAGAAGTAAATAAGAAATAAATAAATAAAAACAAATACGAAAACTTTATCTTTCTTATTTCACTTTACAATACGATATTCGGTTATGCATCAATTTTTTTTTTTTTATATCTGAAAGAAATTTTGCATAATTTGGCTGCCCCAGGCAAACTTCTTATGGACCTCCTAAGGGCCGCGATTCCTCTGTTAAGAAACACTGATATACACCAACGCTCCCTAACCCATTTTTCCTTCTGTGAGAGACTTGGAAATATTTTTAGGAAGAACGTTTCTATGAAATTCACACTTTGTGTCCTTACTAGAGATTGTAAATTTACCGACTTTTTCATTTACCGGTAATTCGGGGAAATGAAAATTAAAATACCGGTTTACCGATAAATTACCAGTAAATTTTTTTTGAAAAATAAAATTAATTAAGATGATAAAAAATATAAGTCATTATGATTTCTATTTTACATTTTTTATTACAAAAATATCAAATTTAAAAAATATAAAAATTAAAGTGTTATTCTAAACAAACTATAATAATAAATATAGAAATAAACAAAAATAAAATAATACAGAAAAATAAAAATACAACAGAAATAATACTTAGTACCTAATACCATTTTATTGATTACCATTTTTTAAAATTAACTTCTCAAGAAACTTAAATTATTTATAGTCTTATCTCCTAATTTTGATCTACAGTAATTTTTGTACAAAATAATCCAGATCCCGAGAATACCCTTTCTGATTCAACACTTGTTGGACGAATGGTCATTAAATTAAAATTAAACAAAAAATATCCTACATAAAATTAATAATGAGGTATATTGTTGCTTACACTTACCTGTTTTTTTTTATGTTCCTTTACCTTTTTTAAATATCTATAAACGCAATATTTTCCACATAGAAATTTTTAGTATGGATTTTTCATTTACCGAATTACCGGTAAATTTTTGAAATTTACAGGTAAGTTTACCGAATGTTTTTTTGTCAATTTATCGGTAAACCGGTATACGATCCGTAGTCCTTACCTTACATTGTTCTTCAAATCCGGAAATCATTAAACGCAATGTTCCTTCACACACGTTTTAAGAGTTGAGCAAATGTTTATCAATGAACTTAACTTTTCCCTACGGTCATTGTCCAATACTCTGCCTCCAGTGCCCGCTGTCACCGAATTCCTTCTTATCGCCCTCTAGATTTACTAGCCATCAATAGGGGGCCACATTTAGGGACAGCTGCGCTAAACAGTCCAACTTCCTACACGTGTTGGTAGAGTAGAAATCTTGTTTCGACGGTTCTAATTGGAGGATTATGCGCATAAAATTAAAGTCACCCTTACACAGAGCAGTTCCCTTAAGTCTGCCACGTAAAATTTGTTGCCTGTGTGAAAGAAAGACAGAGTAACTCCAAAATTCCAATACCGCCGACAAACATAGAAAATAAAAAAGGAAAAAATTCGAAGACGAAAAGAAATATCTCCGATTAAAAAAATAATTGTGAAAACATTAAAGGTACTGTACATTATATTTAAGTTGATATGTGAACTCTCTTTCTTCCCCTACCTCCATTCGAAAGAGAAATTCGAATGTAAGATAAACCAGCAACCAGTCACGCAAATTTCTCGGCAACAATTGAAATTTCGGTGGCGTCATCTGTATCATATTTAATTTTTGATATTTTATATATATTTAAATATTATAAAATGAAAAAACTTAAGAGATGAGTTTTATAAAAACTTACGAGTAAAGTCGTCATTAACTCGTTAGCTTATATCTAAATCCATTGTCGATATTAAAGACAGACAACCCAACGATAATAGTTTATAGGTTAATGAATTTTCATGTTTTAGTACAATTTGATTCATAATGTACTATACAATAATTGCAAGAACTTCTTGTAAAATTGACTGAAAATCAACATGATTTTTGGTTTAAATCAAATTTAGCAATTAGTGTCTCACCAGATTTATAAATTACAAATATTGTATGAAAACGCAATAGAATGTATTGCAATAAACTGATTTTGCAGATGTTGCGGCGCGATTGCTGCATACATAAAGAAAGAAAAACGTGAAAAATTAGAGAAATGATGGAGAATGGAGCTACACACAACAGAGAAGTTAACTAATGCCTACGTCACTCGATCACGTAGAGTATTTTTCTATAAGCTAGCCTCTCATACATTGAATGAGTAACTAAAATGACGAAATTACGGAAATTTTCCATCTTCATTTTCTTAATTTATGATTTGCTGTCGCATTCTCTGCGCTAACTAGCGTCGGGTATCTGAAGCTGACTCGTAACTCCTCAACTCGAAACAAAGAATCAGCGAGAGACGGCGAGAAAGTCGTAACTCACCGAACTGTCTCCGCAGTCAGAGAGCGAAATAAATGAAATGAAAGGAAAACCGTACAGAGAACTTATAGGAAGACTCCTTTATCTGGCGAACTCGACACGCCCAGATCTAGAAGTTGCTGCTAGCATGGTTATCCGTTTCTGATCTAATCCAGGTATCGTTCATTGGAAAATGGCCAAGACAATACTCCTGCGGACGGGGAACTTTTTTAATCATTACCCCAAAATATTTTTGTGTAAGTTGATATTACCCCATGGCGAAGAGCAAAAGAAAAAAACGAAATCGCCTCTTTTTAGCATCTTTCATATTATAGCCTCCCATGATAATTTTGAAAAGAAAACAATAACTAAAAATTTAATTTAAACATCATTTATTCAATTTATCAATGTAATACCTAGTAATACATAACGGTAATAATAGTAATATAAGTAATATACAGTTGAGGAAAAAAAATTCGCCCCCACAGAAAATATAAGTAAATGATAATTTCTTGTTATTTTGTAATTCATATGATATTTTTCTTGTATAATTAGACTCTAATAATACAAGAAAAACATCATATGAATTACAAAATAACAAGAAATTATCATTTACTTATATTTTCTGTGGGGGCGAATTTTTTTTCCCTCATCTGTATATAACAAATTGAAACCCATTGGGGTACAATTGAGGGTTGACAATTTGGGGTACTGTAACAAATAATAATAATAATAATAATACCTCTCC